TGGTCGGGTCTGGACCTTCATGGATCAAAAAGTTTATTTTAAAAAGATTTGCTGGGGCTCAACACCATATCACTATAAGAGATATGGTTGTTGGAAATAGAAACCATAGGAGTCTTTGGTGGAATAGATTTTGCGATGGAGGAACTTATTTATGAAATGCGAGCCACAATTATAGGAATATGCAGTGATCTTGTTGAAAAATATTTGCGGGCCTATTGCTTTTCTCCTAAAAGAATTTACAATTAGGACATTTTGAAAAATTACTAAACAAAACAAATAACTTATAAGAGGAAGCTTCTTGTTTACTATTTTTAAAGGCCAATCTGAAGAGAGAAAAAGAATTAAGGCTTAGAAGGTATTTGAGAAGAAGTTAGCATCTGCATCAACCGTCGATAAAGACGGTTGATTCCCTTCCCTATTCCCTTCCCTCTTCACTCGCTCGCTCTGTCACACTCTCTTCCACTCCTAAGTGGTGTTTTGCCCACTACACAGATGACAAGACACTTCATTAAACGTTTCTTCGCACTCTTTTCTGTCCCCCCAAAAAAACAAAAACTATTTATATTTACTCACATAAATTTATTCGGGAATCGCGACACTCGATAGGGTGGCGTTGTAGCGTTACAATGATGAACTAGTGCCTCGGCGCTACTGACTTGGCTTCGTTGCGGCGTTGGGTTGCGTTGACCCAACACAACATTTCCATTGTAAATAACTTTTAACTGCCTCGCCTTGGCGCTGCAAAAGATTGGGAGCTGTGGCACTCAGACATGTCATCTAATGCTGTTGTGATCTAGAGATCGACGCTTCGGCATTGAATTATTTGCAAAAAATAACAGAGAGCAGAGTGTGGCGACGTTCCCTTTGTGGCGTTGAGGCGGCAGTAGCATTGTTTATTTTTCCATCAAGACGTTGATTTAAATGCAAATTTCACGAGACTTGAGCGCTACTTTGTCCAGTTTCGGTGCCGTTGCGTTGAAGGCGCTACGACATTGGTGTTTGTGGCGCAGTGACGTTGGTTCTAGCTTTATATATTTGACTTTTTTCTGAGACATTCCTATTATGCAACATCAATCAAAACACATTTTTACTAAAATTTTATGCAAAAATAAATATAATTTTCACTTAACAAGGACTTATGATGTGCAATGAGATTCAAAACTTAGGAATAGATTGTGCATTACAGGGTACTAGCCTGAACATATTTTAACAAAGCACAAAGGTGCATGAATCTTCTGGAATTATATGTCGTTTGAAGCCAGCTAAACCACCTAACCGATTTTAAAGCCATGATGTCCAATCAGTCAAAGGTTATCTAGGATAGGTAGATTGTTATTTAATTAGGACCGATATCTAGAGATTCTAAATGTTCATAGACTTATGAATGATAGTTATGCTCTTAAGACTAAATGCAATTTAATTTTATTTCTAAATTGTTTTTAATGCAATGCATGTTGGTTGATTTATGCAAAATCATTCTGCAGAATGATTTGAAAAAAAAAAAACTTAATAAATAGATTTTATCTTATAGAGCAGGCCTTCCCTGAGATTTAAAATGCTCCCTAATAGCTCTAGTGGTTTACCCAAATCCGTAGGCGGGAAGGTACCTAAACACGGAATGGATGTTAAATATTCAATGTGACCTCGACTGTTTCCATGTTTACATTCTACAGTGATTGTCTTTTTATATTAATAAATGCTAAATTTAATTTATTATGAGTAGGAGAATATATATATATATATTATTTCGTAAGAGCCTTGTGAAAAGTAGGCAAAATCATGTGCAAGAAATAAACCTCGAAAATAAATAAATATTTTTTAAGCACATAATTTAAAACACAACATTCACACAACTACTAACACATGAAAAAGTATCAATGCAAAAAAAAAAAAAAAGTGTCCAACAGTCCAATTTGATAAGTGTCACTTAATTATTCTTTATAGAGGCAATTGGGTAATACCTTTAAATTACAACTTGGATTCTACGCCTAGAATTGACGTATGTCTTTTAAATGAAATTCTCCAAATTCTTCAGCACCGATCTTCTTCAATCCAAAAGACTTTGCCGGTAGAAGGCTCATTCTTTTGGTCCCTTTTTTAAGATGGAGAATATCGTTTAATTTTCACATTATTTTTTATATTTTCAGTTTGAGAAAGGAAAAATCCTTTATACTTTCTGAATGTTGGTAAAATAGTTTGTATATAAAAATCCAAATTAAATCACATCACATATTAGCAAAGCTTTTGCTTAGCAAATGAGCAACATGTTTATTGGATGTTTTTTAACAATTAGGAGGGGCTAAGCAGTAAAAGCACATATATAAATTTTGATTAGTTTTAAATCTTAATTAATTAGCCCCTCTTTATAAGCCTGCATAGGCATGACCATCTACAAAAAAACAGATTAACAATAAAACATCTAGATCTTCCTTAACCTAGGAAAAACTAAGCACTCATCACTTAATCACAACAATACAAAGCACAGAAGCAATCGACCGTCTGAATCACTCACATCATAGTACACATCCACCAACATCACTCAAATTCTTTTATTAACAAATAAATCAACAATAACACATCTCCACAATAGCGTTCATAACCTAAAGTTAGTATTGGTTGTCCTAACAAACAAATCAAAATGTGTATTTTTTAATATATTTTTTATTTTTTTAATATATATTTTTTGTTTGGGGTGCTTGACAATGTGGGTGTCAACCTATTAGGTTTTAGGTTTCGTTTTCTAATTTTGATTTTTTTTAATATCCGAGGGTTGTTTTAATTTAAAATTTAATATTTTGGATCTTTTTTTAAGCCTTTAATGAGTTTATAAATGAAATTTTTATTTTTGTTCTAAATTTATTTCACTGGTTCTAGAATTTTCATTAAATTTTAGGAATTCACATGAATTTATTTCATATTTTTTCTAATTTTTATTGAATTTTTTATGAATTTTATAATTTCGAGATTATTTATCCAATTTATATAATTTGATGGTGAAAATTAAATATTAATTAAAATATTTATTTAGTTTATTATTCATTATGATTTTATATGCTTATAAAACTTTATTTGAGATTTTTCTTGGATTTTTAATAATTTTTAAATATCCGGGTTATCAATTATCTTATTATCCTTTCATTATTTGTTTCCTTTTACTTTCTCTATCTCCTATTCTCTTTTGAATTTAACTTTATGTTTAATTTAAATTTATTTAATCTTATCATTAGTTCGACTTAGGGGGTGATTTTAATAGAATTAAATTTGTTTAGATCTTATCTTTTGATTTTTGAAGCTTATTATTTTCATTTGTTAAGTTTATATTTGATTTGGTTTTAGAAATGTTATAATTTCATTTTTAAGTTCATTCTTTTTATTTAAATTTTTATTTAAATTCTATATCAATTGGTATAACATTTTTTTTTTTATTTTTTTAATTTTTATTTTTATTTATTTTATTTTATTTTATTTTAATATTTTTTTTATATCAATTGGTATAACATAATGAAGTTGATTGATGTTGCATTGTATTTCATTTAAAGTAGGGAATTGCAAACCAAAATTTAAATTTTTAAATATCATTATTCTCGTAGTTGAATCCTTTGTAAAGTGATATCTCTATCCTACGGGATGGTATGTCATTTTCTATGATGATTTGATTACGAGATTAGTGAAAGTATCGTAGTTATTGTGATTGAATACATAATTGAACAACATTTTAATCTCTTGGGATTATATATTATTCTTTGTGATAACTCTGTTACAAGAACTTGGATAAAATTTGTATTTTTGTATTTGAATCCATTGAGGAATGTTATTTTTTATCTTTCGTGATATATATTATTCACAATGCTATATTCGATTACAAAAATTGAAATTCAAAATCATGTTTGACCTACATATTTTTCCCAACACATTTCAGTAAATTATCTTGTACTTTATTCCAAAGTTAACCAGAAGGATTTGCAAAGAATATGGCAATGTTAAGTTGTTAACAGATAGAGTTGGGGGTCCATGAAAATTCTTCAAATTAAATTCCCTGAAGGCTGTCTTTACTTTGCCAATCTGTACAATTGGAAGTGAGATAACTTTGAGAACCTGATCCTATTTTCAGATAATAAAGCAGCATATAGTTGCTTTTGAATGAACCGATTTTGGTGGACTGAGAAGTCTATGCCTACTTTCATTCATAATATTTAGTATTTATGATACTTTATCTATTTAATATATTCGTAATATTAATTTCCAGTTTTAACAGTAGGTGGTCACACTTTTTGAATTTTCTTATTTTATATTTTTTCTCCAATTTTATCCATCACTCGAAACTTGTTTTGCTGAGGCTGAGCTTTTCTCTTTCCTGTATGTATACCGGACGTTTTGAGGATTTATTATTCTGTGCGGAGTCTCCGGATGTATCCGGAGACCAATAAAAATGCGCTACGTCACCTCAAAAATGTATCGCACTCGATATTGAGCGTAACCAGACGATTCTCCTGTCCGGTGTCTGCACAGAATAATCTCTCCGTTTTGAGAGACCTGTTGTAAACCGTCCGGTGTCCGCGCAGAATAATCTATCCGTTTTGCTGAGGCTGAGCTTTTCTCTTTCTTGTATGTATACAGGACGTTTTGAGGATTTATTATTCTGTGCGGAGTCTCCGGATGTATCCGGAGACCAATAAAAATGCGCCACGTCACCTCAAAAATGTATCGCACTCGATAACCAGACGATTCTCCTATCCGGTGTCCGCACAGAATAATCTCTCCGTTTTGAGAGACCTGTTGTAAACCGTCCGGTGTCCGCGCAGAATAATCTCTCCGTTTATAAGGACCTGTTTTATCAATTAAATATCTGACACATCTACTTTTTGTCTCCTGGTCTTGTTTGATTATTGCCGTCCAGGAATTGTCGTATCATATTCTTTGCGTGACCATTCTTGCCTATGATTTTTCACTCATGATAAAACCTTACAAATTTTTTCTTCTACCCTTTTTGTGCATACCAGGGTGTTTGCGGCTGTGAGAAGTTTTCCAGCAGCTCCATAACAGAGGTTATTCAAGCCATCATCAAGCGTGATGGCTATACTGGGCTTTTGAGAGGATGGAAACCCAGAATGCTCTTCCATGCACCTGCTGCTGCTATTTGTTGGTCTACATACGAAGCTTCCAAATCCTTTTTCAAGGACCTTAATGACAGAAAGGCATAAACTTTTTCCTATTCGTTAGAACATTTCATTGAAACCGACAGTTTTACATAGTTGCATTCAAACGGAAACAAACTTCTCAAGGAGGAATCTAACTTTAATTCAGGTTCTTTATTTAAGCTTCGTTTGGGACGGTTTTTTTACTGCTTCTTAAAGCAGCTTTAGCCAGCAAAAACTTCTTCGAAAGCATTAAATACCACTTCTACTATTTATTTAACTTTTCCCCTGATTGTTGTAACCATCCTAAATAAGCTGAGGCGAGGAATTGTGTTTTTGTACCCCCTTATGTATGGAGCAAATAGGAAATACAGGAGATGCATTACAGATATAATAGTCATTGTAAGAGAGATTGTACCCGGACAGTTCTAGTTTGTTTTTCTGTAATTTTGTAGTCTGCTGTGGTGTTCCTTTCACCACCTTATAGTGTCATATTTCTAGTTCCATGAAGCTAGTAATAAGTAATATTCCATATGATATATTGAACCACTTTATGTTAGATTACACTCTTGTATTTATTTCATGAACAATTTGGCTATTTTGTTACAAAGTTATCATATGCAGGGAATGCCCTTTTTGCTGTAAATTCAATTTTGTTCTTTGTTATTGAGAGCTAAAAACTGTGATGATAGAATATTTAATATCTTAATTTTGTATAAAAACCCAGCATGTTCATATAGAAGTTTTAAGATTACAAAATTTTGTACATGAAAAACTTGTAATAAACTATAATTATAGGTACAAAATCTATTCTTTTCCTCAATTAAAAATGAAGATATTTCACAAATGAAAATAAAATTCCTATTCTCATTGCAGGGATTACAAAAGCGGTATGTCAACGGACAAAAAACTAAGTCTAATAACTTAGTTGGAAAATGCAATTGAGTTATTTAGATCTCTTAGTTCTTAAACTCTCTTTACATAAAAAATTATGATTGCTTTATAATTTTTTTAGAAGGGCATTTAGGTAAATTTGGCTAGGATAGAAAAGACTTGATTGAATGGTATATGTTGATCTTCTTGATCATATATTTTGTATCTAGTATTTTGTGTGCCTTAAGATGTTAGAATCAATAAATCTTGGGTTTGTTAAATTCAACTTTTTCAAGCTGTTTAATTTAATTATAAGCATGTTATATTTGATGATCATTTGATTCTTCAATTAATGTATAAATGAATTAAATATATTTCAAGTGTTTGATTTGAATTTATCTTTGTGTCAGATCATTTGTTGTGTAGATGAATTTTTATTTTTAAGATATTCAATTTCATCATAAGTTTGTTGAAATTGGTGTTTGAATGATGATGATTTTAATTCTAAAATTTTTATTTTAAATTTTATTTTGAAATTCATTTAAATATCAATTTTAATTAAGCTAAGTTGTTTTAAGTTTAAATATTAATTTCTTTTTTATTATTTTTTAAAATAATTTTTTATAAATAATTAAAATTGCTTTTTAAAGACCTGTATGAATGGATTCAGTCATACATGATCGTAATTTCTGCCAGCGAATTTAACATTTTCTCATATAGCGACACGTCAATTCATATTTTAGCATTTCTTTATTAACACAATTTGCAACATTTTGATAAAATGTAATAGACACTTAAAAATAAAATAAAGTTAACGTTAATCTCAAAATAAACATGCACCATGAAATTGCACCAGCCGGGAATCGAACTTGGGTCTGTATCATGGTAGGGGTGTCAAATTTTGACAAGACCCGAAACACAACCAGGACCCGATTCAAAAAAATCCGGGTTCGGGTTGACCCGGTTAGCCAAAAGGTCGGGTTCGGGTTCAGATTTTTGACCCGTTTCAAAAAACGGGTCGAGTTCGGATTGACCCGGAAACCTGAAATAAACCCGACACTGACCCGAAAGTCGAGACCATCATGATTTCCACCCGTTCTCGCCCCGTCGCCTGCTGCCGCGAGCGCGGTCCCGCACTTGAGTGCGGATTCCGCTAAGCTATTCGCTGTCACGCAGTCGCACGGTCAGCCCGTGCCCCACACTCGCGCCATCGCGTGGTCAGCTAGTGCCCCGCACTGGCGCACTCTCGTCGTCGCGCGGTCAGCCCGCGACCCGAAAGTAGACTCGGCCGGTTAGCCCAAGCTCCGCATGGCCGCACTCGCACTTCACGAGGTCCCGTGGACTCTGTCTGCACGCGCGGTACCGCAGACACTGCCCGCACTTGCACTGTCGCGAGCTCGCTTCTTCGCAATCTGCTAATCTGGGTCGTGTCGGGTCAACCCAGCAACCCGTGTGGGTCGGGTCCGGGTTGAAATGTCTGCACTGTTTGCAAGAACGGGTCGGGTTCGGGTTGCCATGGCAGGTTACTATTCTACCACTAGACCAATGGTGCTCCGGGTAGAAGTTGATTTGGTTTTAATTTAAAAAAATGAGAATACTATTGGCTTACAAATGATAATGATATTGCAACAAGAACAGCAAGCTTTTTTCCCACTATGTGGTCAGGTATATGAATCTTTTTTCTCTATTGTTTCATATTTAGAGTCAAATTGTCATATAAATCTAATAAATAAATATCATTTCTAATATTTTCTAACAAGTCTTTTTAGACATACCTCTACCTTTATTAACACAAGTTAAATCTAATACATCAAATTTTCTAACCAAGTCATTGGGAGGACATTATTTTATATGACCAAATCATCTAAGTCGACTATCTCTAATCTTACCTTCCATTGGAGCTACCCCAATCTTTTCACGTATATTCTCATTTCATATATTGTCTTTAAGAGTAAAGCCACTCATCCACTTGATCATCCTCATCTCTACAACACTTAATATTATGCTTCTTTTTTAATGACTAACATTCTGCACCATAAAATATTGCAGGTCTCACTACCGTGTTATAGAATTTTTTCTTAAGTTTGAGTGGGACTTTTCTATCACACAATAAGCTTGACGCACTCCACTTCAACGATCCAACTTGAATTCTACGATAATATCCTCATCTATTTCACCATCACTCTAAACAATAGATCCAAAATATCTAAAATATGCACTTTTTAATTACTTGATCGCTCAAAGTCACAATCCCCCCACTAGATCTATTATTACTAAATTACACTCCATATATTCAGTTTTAGATATACTCAAATGGAAGCCTTTAGACTCTAAAGTTTATCTCCATAATTCATGTTTACCTTCCGCTCCCTCTCTAGTCTTATCAACAAGAATAATATCATCAGCAAAAAGCATACACAAGGGAACTATCTCTTGCAAATGTCTAGTGAGAATATCCATGACTAAAGAAAAAAGATATAGGCTTAAGGCTGATCCTTGATGTAATCCAACTGAAATAGGAAAATACTTGGTCAAATCTTATTGTGTTTGAACACAAGTAACAACTCCTGCATACATATCATTAATGACTTGAATATAGAACTCTCCATAGCACTTCTCTTGGAAATTTATCATATGCTTTCTCTAAATCAATAAAAATCATATGTAGATATTCTTTATTCTTTCAAATACTTCTCCATCAAACTTCCCAATCTATGTATAGCTTCCATAGTCGACCTACCTGGCATGAATCCAAATTGATTTGATAAACATTAATGTCACGTCATAACTTATGCTCCATAACTCTCTCACATAGTTTTAAAATATGGCACGTTAACTTAATTCCTCTATAATTCACACAATATTGTGCATCACCTTTATTCTTAAAAATAAGAATTAACACACTCATTCTCCACTCATCTGACATCTTTTTAGTTTTCAAAATAATATTAAAAGGTTTAGTAAGCCAAAAAATTCTTTCATCTCCTAAGCATTTTCACACCTTAATCGAAATATCATCACGTCAAACAGCTTTTCCACACTTCATTTTCTTCAAAGCCTCTTTAACTTTGGTTTTACTAATGCGTCGATAAAAGCAAATATTTTTATTTTGGGTGCTAAAGTCACTAAAGTCAATTGCATTCTCATAATCTTTATTAAAAAGTTTAGCAAAATATTTCATACACCTTTGTTGAATATTCTCTTCTAATAAAAGAACTTTTTGATCTTATCCTTAATACATTTCACTTGACTAAATCATTACTACTCATATCTCTTTGTTTAACTAACTTATCATATATCTTTCGCATCCCTTTGAATCTAATCTATTATATAAATTACTAAAAGCTAAAATCTTTGCATTAAAAATTATTTTCTTAAACTCTTTATGGGCATCTTTATAGCTTTCCCAATTACCAAAATTTTTACAATTAAATTAATTTTTATAACAAATATATATATTTTGTTTTCTTGCACATTTTGATTCCACCACCTACTAGTTTTACTGTTAGTAGATTTTCTCTTTAATACTCTAAGCACATCTTTTACAACATTCTTAATATCACCAGCTACTTTTTCACATAACATTAGCTTCTTTATGTACAGAAAAAATATTAAGATCTGGAATCTTATTTTAAAAAATATTTGGGTTAATATTCTTTAAATTCCCTCATCTAATCCTTGAACAATGATTTATTCTATTTTTTATTTTCTACCCATTTATCTTAAAGTCAAAAACTAATAATCGATGTTGTATACATAAACTTCACTAGGAATAATTATACTATCTTTACATTCTAAACGATATATTTTTATTATTAAAAATAATGAATCTGATTTTACTATATCTATTCTTATAAGTGATGTGAAGCTTATATCTTTTCTTTAATAAGGTATTAATTATTACAAAATCATAAGCTAAAAAAAATCTAATATGATCTTATCGCCTTTATTTGTCGCACCAAAGTCATAGCCGCCATGAATGCTTTTAAAATCATCTACCTCTCTACCAAATTCTATTAATTTTATTAAATCTATAACTCTATTTCAAATTCTATTAATTTTTATAACATTATCTTTCAAACTCTTATCTATAATCACCCATACATCATTTATAATACGACTCCTATCAGAATACCATATATTCAATTATAAACTATCAATCTCCTTAGCCTTCTCTCTAACCCATTTAGTTTCATGAATGAATAGAATATTTATCTTCCTATGAATCATAATATATATTGATTCCATTAATTTGCATATAAGGAAATATATATTCCAAGTTCATATCCAAATTTTAGTTTCATGAGCTAGCTTCTTTTCCCACATTCGTCCATGATGTGGGAACCCTTACCTATTTAACACTGCACCATGGCGCCGATGCAATGACCCTTGCTCACTTGTCGCTATATTTAGGCCATATAACAAGTCTCCTCCAGGGAGCACCCTAGCATGAAACTAAAATTGAAAATTCTAACTTTATTTTATTATTTAATTTAATTAAGATTGAATTAAATATATTAAGTAGAGTTTCGAGTAAGGGTACTTTTATAAAAAAATGTTTTTTTTTCTATGACTTGCTCAGGAATTAATTTAATTGACTTGAACTAATTTGCATATTATATATATTTGTTCTAGTTTTAATTGAAAATAAAGATTGGCTCATTTGATTGGTATTAAGTTCTATCAAGTTATTTTTAATCGAACCAATTTGGTTTAAAATTACTCGTTTAAGAGTCAGGTACACAAACTGTATCCTTTCTCTACTTCATAAGGAAGTTTGTAGCGTGCAGAGCTAGAGAGTTTAACGTCTTAACTTTGTATAAAAACTTAGTACACCTATAGGTAAGAGGAGGGATGTAAAAATCATAATATATACTTTTTTTAATGTGGAAAAAAGGGAAAGATCATGAGGCCTAGCCTAATTAAAATGATTCCGCCAGTGTTTATCGTTGATTACAAATGATTCCCTTACTAAGGGGAGGGCATTAGCTCAATGTAGCAAATATACATCATATAGAGCAAATTACATGATTGTTAATGAAAGAATCTAATGACTTGAAAGCTATTCTTAAGAGAACGTTGGCCTATTTGTTTGGTTAGGAGGATCATAGTCGGATGACGGAGGTTATTATGTTCATAGTTAGCCTATTTGTTTAAGTGTCTTAATGATGTTAGATTAATTAAACAATTTTGGACTCATTAGATTTGTCTCGTAGAGCTGCATGATTCGACTAAAAACATGTCATATTTGTATATCATTTGATCATGTAATTAATATTTTGAAGCTTCCAATTATGTATCAAGTCATTGATTTGGGCTCAAATCGGATCAATTTCATTGTCGTTGGGTTTGTCTAGTCGAGACGTTCAATTTGACTATAAATTTGTTGAAATCGAGTTCAAATGCTCATGTATTTAATTTTGCAAGTTTCCAATTCAAATATGCCTCAAGATTCATGCCCGATTAAGATGATTTTTGGTGAAATATCAAAGTTGAATACATTATCATCATAACAAATATCATCGAAGCAATATAATGATTATTATATTCATCTTCAACCGAACTCCTTTCATAACATCAAAAAAGAATATTCTTTGTACATTCTTTCTCATATCTATTTCTAACCTTTATTTTTCTACAAAAAATGTGTTTTTGTGAATTGTATGACGCCAACATTAGCACTGCACTGTTAACGATCGACATAAAACATAAAAAATACATTTCTATTTGCTTCTCAGGTGAACGCTCGCGGGAGCGACAAATGGGCGAATGGAATTTGCTTGGAGATGTCCTTATTTAGTGAGGAGATCTCTTATTGTGTTTCTTGTGCCTTCTGTCTTTGATTACATATGGGCGAAAGATCTGAAATTGTTTGCAAAGTCCATAGAAAGCTCTTCTGATATAATATTATTAGATATAAAATTTAGAGATAGCTGAGCATTTGAGGCTTCAATCGCTGAACATTGAAGTTCACTAACTAGAAACTATTTGAAAGTAAAATCAACTTCAACTAGCACCCGAGCAATGAATAAAACTATTAAGTGCAATAGCAAGGGCAGTAATACAAAGTAATTTTTCAAATAAAGAAGACATAATAAATATAATGTTTTCATTAAAAAATGAATCTTCACTAACTACTAAGGCTTCATTTGGGACAAATTTCTTATTGTTTTATGAAGCAGATTATTATTTCAAAAAATTTAAATTCGAAAAAATATTGTACTAAAAAATTGCTTCATAAAGTAGTAAGAAAAGTGTCTCAAATGAAACCTAAGTCTAAATAAAAAGTCCAATTACTCGGGCTTCATTTGGGACGGTTTTTTTTATTGTTTCTTAAAGCAGTTTTTTAGTGCCAAAATTTTAAAGAAGCAAGCAAAAAAACTGTCCCAAATAAAAAATTTTAAGAAGCAAACCAAAAAACTGCCCCAAATGAAATCTTAATCTAACAAAGAATACTTCAATTTTTAATACACCATGAAAAAAATACAATTATGTCATCTTTGACACTATCAAACTTAGTAGAACATATTTTATTACCACTGATAAAATTTAAATTTATCCACATGAGAAGAGCGAATTATTACGTCCGGTCACTGGACGTCCGGACAACCAATTCAGAAACATCACGTCACTCAAATACACTGGGTCCTGATATATTTTGGTGACGTGACACATCTAAATTGGTGTCCGGACGAATCCGGACACCGAATGTAATAATTTGCCCATGAGACTTGGGCAAGAAAAACAGCCTTGTAGATTGCGAAGGCAGCTTTTTGCTGCTATATGTCCCAAAAGAAACATTAATCTCACAAAGAATTCTTCAAACTTTAACACTCCATGAAAACATTACAATTAAGTAATCCTTGACACTATCAAACCTAGTAGAACATTTTTTATTCTCACAGATAAAATTTAAATTTATCCGCATGCAAAGTGGGCAACAAATACAGCCTTGCAGATTGCGAAGGCAGCTTTTTTGCCAAGAAAATTTCAAATTAAATAAACCCATTAAGCTCATTAAGAGCCCAAATCGAATCCGATCACTTTCATGGCTTGATCTCTTCCCCCATTGACCTATTTTGACTGGTTTGACCAAGTCAAACTCTGACTTGGTCAAACCAAGCCTTTAATAGGTTAATATGACCTATTTATGTGAATTTAAGGCATAATTAATGGGTTTAATGGCTCTTAATGCATGGAAATTCAAAACTACGGCATAATCACTCCTATTTCCCTCCAAATCACCTGAGGATTCGATCCCAACCGTTCACCTTAGGTCTAGGAGCCTTAAATAGCAAAAATTAGGTCTTTTGGAGGGATCTTTTGCTCTTGCTGAATCGAGAGACCACCTCAGGCCTCGAAATTTTTTGAGAGCACTTCCACGACTCCCCTCCACTTTTTCGAACCAAATCCTGACGCTCAGACACCGCCGGCGGCGATCTTCCGGCGAACCCGAGACGAAATCCCTTCCAAGGCTTCATCCCGTCGATCGAGCGTGCGTTGGATCTCGACTTCAATAGAAGATTGTTCGTGAGGAGCCCACGAGTCCAACAAGACCAAGATCTTCCGAATCCACCGTGTGGATTAGGTAAAAACTCAAACCCTAGATAGAACACTTAGATCTAAATAACTCTTCATACACTGCATATTAAATCTCAAAAAATACCCCCCACGAATGCTCTTCACCAGTAAAATTCAGATCTAAAGTTTCGTGGCGTTTGGTTCAGTCGTTTGAGAGAACGAAGCAAAAAACCCTCTTAGGGTTTCGGTATTCCGTCCGCCTAGGTTGGACGCGAGCTGGGCAACGGCTCGGATCAGGTTGCACCGCGGTTCGGTGCGACCGTGTATGCCGAGCGGATGCACAGGTCTTGTTCCGCCGAGATCTAGGTCGTCCATTCGAATCAGGCGCCGATTTTAAAATCTTAAAATTATGAACATTTTATTTTATATTGATATATTTTTTAATTGTACGATTAAAAAGACTAATCCAATACTCACACGTATTATAATAAATATCAAAATCTAACTTTTACTCGATTTTAATTAAAATCTTACTAATTTAACTCCAAGGATTTCTCAACGATTTAATGGGATATATATATTCATAGTTAACCTACTAAATTTTATATTTAATTAAATCAATATAACTTAAGAATACACACACATATATATAATTTTATATTTATTTTCCATTTTAGATAAAGTTTTCAAACAAACACCACAAACTGCTCTTTCTCAGTTTCTCACGACCAAATAAAGCTCTTCGTCAAGTCGTCTCCCTTACAACACTGTGTCGACATTCCCCCTCTCCTTACCATACAAAATTTCACCGGATCACCTCTGGCTATACCGCCATTGCTGACCAAAAAGTTCGCGTAAATTCATTTTACTCTCAAGATGTCGTCATCCTCTTCCATATATAAATCTCTCAGCTTCTCTATATTAATTCGGTGTCCCATAATTACCCTATTAAAGATTAAAAATGAACAAACTCGTCTTCCTCCTGCCAATCACTCTCCTCCTCCTCCTCCTTCTCCCAGCGCTAACCCACGCCGACTGCAGCTGCGATCTCGATCAAGAAGACGGCAAGCGGCCCCGCGCGCTCTCATTAAAGCTCGCTGCACTCTTCTCCATCCTCACCGCCGGTTTCATCGGCGTCTATCTCCCATCCTTAGGGAAATGGCTCCCCGCCATCAGCCCGGAGAAGAACATTTTCTTCGTCATCAAAGCCTTCGCCGCCGGCGTTATTCTCTCCACGGGCTTCATCCACATACTCCCGGACGCCTTCTCGAATCTAACTTCGCCGTGCTTAAATCCACACCCATGGCAGGATTTCCCCTTCGCCGGATTCTTCGCGATGGTGGCGGCGATAGGAACTTTGGTCATAGATACTGTGGCGACTGGGTACTACAATCGGATTCATAATGGGAAAGTGATTGAGAAGCTGGCAGGGGCCGATGAAGAGGGAGGCGCTGGGCAGGTACATGTGCATACCCATGCAAATCATGGCCATGCGCACGGGATGGGTACCTCTGTTCCCGACGAAGGCGAAGATCTTATTCGGCGACGAGTTATATCGCAGGTGATGGCTTTTCTTCGATTAAAAAAAGGAGGAATCTTTGGCTTTTTGGGATCATTTCAATTTTTAGGGATTTCATCAGGTTCCCAAAATATTAATATTTATATATTTCATTTCTAAATTTTACTGTTTAAACCATCTGTCATATTATTAATCGGGTTAGAAGATCTCAGTAGACATTCTTTCCTCGCTCTTTTGCCGTCGAGGATTAATTATTCTATGTGGATGTCGAATATCGTTCGGAGACCAATCAGAATATGCTACTTTACTCATTTGCTCGATACCTTGGCTTGATACTGATCGGTATTGCTCGGTACCGTGGCTCAGTACTGTTTACACAATGCATTTTAATTGGTCTCCGAATAACGTCCTGAACTGGGCTCCACACGGAACAATTTCTCAAAGAGGGCTCCAAAAATTTTAGTAGGAGCGTTGCCATGGCTCGAAGCTCATAGGTGAGGGAATCAATGGGCCCGAGCGAGAAAATCGCATTGGAGCTTGCAACTAGGGCATGATAGGTCAAGACTTGGAGAAGCTATTAGTCCTGGCGGGACCACAGGCAAGGGGATTGGCGTCTGGCAACATGAGCGATTGGTTTGATGGTCATGATGCGGGCTTAGGAATAATTTGAATGTTTTAGATGGTACATATAGAAAGAGGAAAGTTTAGGTGTAAAATATGCACTGTTTTGAAAATCAGATCGGACCATCTAGTTCAACTGTGAACTGGTCTGGTCGCCGGTCTGATCAAGCTTCAGAACCGGTTCTACAACAAATCAAATCAAATCGGATTGAACCAATAATTCAACCAGTGAACCGGTCCGGGTTGAAAAGAACCAACCAATTTATAAGAATATTTTAATTTCGTTTTAATTAAAATTTTAAAAATATATTTTAGTTTATTAAATATTTTTAAACTTTTTAAAATATTTTTTTAAATATGATGATTAATTTCACCATAATACATACAAGTTATCTTAACTAACTCACATAATTTGTTTTGTAAAAAATTGTACTTCTCACTTTATAAAGGGTTCAAGGAAATATCCTCAAACTCTCCCTATGATGTGGGACTAAAAAAATTGCATAAATAGTTTAGAATGTGAATTTGGGCTTATTTGGGCTACAAATTTGGATAATATGATCATATATTTAATTATTTATATTATATTAATGATCATAAATTTTTTATATTATAAATTTATATATTATATTAAGTATTATTCTTATAAATATATTATT